CAAGTTATTTTGAAATCACACAAAACTGTAAGAGGAGTAGCGTTTTATAGGAATTTCACAGAAATTTCTATTTTTAGTAACCATGGCAACACCATTCTTTGAAATCAAAAACAGATGCACTAAATTATGTATCTTAGTGCAGTCTACTTGTGTGCCAAGTTATATTGTAATCAGACCAAAACTGTAGGAGGAGTAGCGTTTTAAAGGAATTTCACAGAAATTTCTATTTTTTAGTAACCATGCAACACCGTTCATCGAAATCAAAAACCGATGCACTAAATTTTGTTTCTTAGTGTAGTCTACTCGTGTGCCAAGTTATAATGAATCAGACCAAAACTGTAGGAGGACTAGAGTTTTAAATGAATGTCACAGAAATTTCTATTTTTAGTAACCATGGCAACAACGTTCATCAAAATCAAAAACCGATGCACTAAATTATGTATCTTAGTGTAGTCTATTTGTGTGCCAAGTTATATTGAAATCAGACCAAAACTGTAAGAGGAGTAGCATTTTGAAAAATTGTTTACAGACAGACAAATGGACGGATGACAGACACCTTACTATCGCATAAGCTCTTCTGGTCTCTGACCAGTAGAGCTAAAAAACATGTGACCACAAGGGTGAAAATGAAAATTCAAAAACCCTATTGCACATCTACAGGACACCACCAATCATCTTCCCAAAGATGATTAGGCTACTCCGTAAAATGAGTTCTGGGAACCACAACCTTTTCTATAAAAAAACCTGTCATTTTTCAACCCCCAGGGTGAAAAGAAAATTCCGAAATCTTATTGCACATCTACAGGAAACCACCAATCATCTTTAAAAAGATGGTTAGGCTACTGCGTAAAAGGGAAGAGGAGTTCTAGGAACCAGGTTTTTGTAGAAAGAACGTCATTTTTTGGCCCCAATTTTGCCCATGGGGTAATGTTCAAAATTCTAAAACTTTATTGCACATTCACAGGACACCATCTACCATTTTCCAGAAGATTAATTGCTTACTGCTTTAAATAAAAGAGGAGTTTGAGGAAAAAGAAAGTGTGACAGACGGATGGACCACGGTAAAAACAATATACCCAAACTTTCTTTAGAGTGATTTATTGTATGTTGTTTAATGTCCCATTCGAGAATTTTTCCCTCATATAGAGACGTCATAATATACCGGTGAAGGGCTTCAAATTTAGACCTTTACTCGGCACTCAGGACCATAGAGCAGTGAGGGATCTTTATCGGCCAATGCCTACCGTGACACGGGGCCTCGGTTTTTAAGGTCTCATTCAAAGGACCCACAACTTTCACTTCAAGTGTTGAGCGCTAAGCGAAGGAACAGTTGCTACCATTTTTTTTTATTGACTTTGGTCAGTCGCGGCCGTGATTTGAACACAACCTTCCCATCACGGAGCTAGCAAATTTCAAAAAGTAGGTAACTGTGACCTACTTTTGGGTCAACATGATACGAGGTCCTAAGATGCATCAACTGAAAAGATTTGATAATCCTAGTTCTTTTAATAAGCAAATAATCAGTTTTAATAAAACATAATTTTTTTTATCAATTTTGAAGTAACCTTGAGACCACACCCTTTGTCCTAGGGTGATACCTTGAATAAATTTTATTTTACAACATATCCTCATCCTTGTGTGCAAGTTTGGTGATAATCTGCCCAAAGGTTCTTAAGATATTTTAGCAACCAGTATTTCTGTTTTTCCAATTTTATTTTCCCTCTCTTGTCCCCCTGTGACCCACACCCCTAGTTTTAGAATAATTAAATGAGAGCCCATGAACCAAGGATACTTGACAAATTTGACAACAAAGTGCCCCACAACAGCATGATACGCCCATCAAATATTGTTCAATTATCATAAACAGTTTAGAGTGCAAGAAAATCATGTCAACCTTGATACAAAGATTTCAATGATTTTTCCATTCCTTATAGTGTTTGATGTACATACATCTCCTGTGGTGTAGGCATTAATTATAACAAATATTACATCATAGATTTCTCAACTGGTTGTTCTAGAGCTTAACAATGCCCATCTGCAGATTCCCTATTGTGGCCCCACTCAAAAACTGGGACCATGATTTGAACAATTTAGAATCTACAATACCTTAGGAAGCTTCCATGTAAGTTTTAGCTTTTCTGACCCAGTGGTTCTTGAGAAAAAGATTTTCAAAGATTTTTCCAATATATTTTAATGTAAAAATTTGCATCTCTATTGGGGCCCCACCTTAACCTTGGGGGCCATGATTTGTACAATTGAGAATCAACACTACCTCAGGAAGCTTCCAAGTAAGTTTTGGCTTTTCTGGCCCCGTGCTTCTTGAGGAGGAGATTTTTAAAAATTTTTTCCTAAGCTTCAATATAAAACTTTGATTTCCTATTGTGGCTTGCCAATATATGGGTAAATAGTGCTGATTCAGCATAAAACATTAATCAATCAATCAATCCTATTGTTGCCCCACCCTAACCCCAAGGGGTCATAATCTGAACAATTTAGAATCTACAGTACCTCAGGAAGCTTCCACATCAGTTTCAGCTTTTCCCACACAATGGTTCTTGAGAAGATTTTTAAAAAAAATTCAATATATTTTAATGTAAAACTCTGATTCCCTATTGTGGCCCCACCCTAACCCCAGGGGCCATGATTTGAACAATTAAGAATCTACACTACCTCAGGAAGCTGCCAAATAAGTTCCATCTTGAGAAGAAGAATTTTTAAAGAGATTTTGATTCCCTATTGTGGCCCACCCTAACCCTGGGAGTCATGATTTGAACAATTTAGAATCTACACTACCTCAGGAAGCTTCCACTTAAGTTTCAGCTTTTCTTGCCCAATGGTTCTTGAGAAGATTTTTAAAATGTTTTCCAATATATTTCAATGTAAAACTTGGATTCCCTATTGTGGCCCCAGCCTATTCCTGGGGGGCATGATTTGTATAGTTTAGAATCAACACTACCTCAGAAAGCTTCCATGTAGGTTTTAGCTTTAGCTTTACTGAACAATGGTTCTTCAAAAGAAGATTTTTTAATGACCCCACCTTGTTTTTTTCTTTTCTTGATTATCTCCTCTTGAAAGGGGATTTGGCCCTTCACTTTAATAATTTTAACTCCCCTTCTTTCAAGGATACTTTGTACCAACTTTGGTTAAAATTGGTCCAGTGGTTCTTGAGAAGTTGAAAATATGAAAAGTTTATACAGACGGAAAAAAAGCAAGCTAGACAGACAGACGGATGGACGAAGGACAACAGTGATCAGAAAAGCTCACTTGAGCTTTCAGCTCAGGTGAGCTAAAAAAGACAGAGCTCCAGATAAGGTGCGTATTTGCAGAAATATGCATTGAATTTTTCAAAATACGCATTAAAAATTAAAACAGGGCATACAATTACGCATTAGGAATCATAAATATGCATTACGCTACGAAAGTACTGCGTACAACGGATTGGATGTTAACTAATTATGTGAATTGAAGTTAGCTCAGTGTTTGAATTTTTATCAAAAGGAAATTTTGATTAAGCGTATTCGGAATAACCTAGGCCGATATAGAGTTCGAGAGAAAGATCTGAATATTAAATACTTGTACTTTGTCTAAAAATATCACAGATTTCCACTGTTCATATAACATATAACATCCAAATTTTCGTTCTTGATGCGTACAGGTTGATATTGTCAAAATTGGGCAAAAACATGCCTGGTGTATAATTTATTCTTTATCACTGTTTATTAAACAGTTCTTGTTTATTTAGCTTTTTCTGTAGCAATAATATCATCTAAAGTCCGCCGACAACTTTTATTAATGGTATGAAAATAATATTGCTTTTTTGCCTTTCACATGCTCCTGTGCTATAAATAGCACCACGGGAACTTTTAATGCAAACGGGAGTAACTCTAAAACTTTTACCTCGATGCCAACAATTTATATTGCAAAACCTAAATATATATTTTTGATTTAAACAAGCATTCTGAGAGTATTGCATTAGCAATACTAGTCCCCTACCGGCAAGTGTAATCTGGTTCCCGTTTAGAATTGAAAATGCCATAATTCCGTCAAAAATTAATGAAGTGAGACGAAATGCAAACTTGATCTATAACTAATCAAGGTAAAACCACATACCAAAAATCAGCTCAATATCTACAAGCGTTTAGAAGAAAATTGCGGAAAACCCGTAAAAATTGAAAAGGCCGTAATTCCGTCAAAAATCAATGAAGCGGAACGAAATGCACACTTGATCTGTAACTCATCAAGATACACTCACATACCAAAAATCAGCTCAATATCTGCAACCGTTTAGGAAAGAAGTGCGGAAAACCAAGTGGGACAGACTGACAGACAGACAGAGGGACAGACAGACAGACAGACAGACAGACGGACAGACAGACTGATGGACAGACTCAGAGGAAACCTATAGTCCCCTCCGGTTTCACCGGTAGGGGACTAAAAACAAACAAACAAACAAACAAACAAAATGGAAAACAACGGAGCTGGATATTTTGCTATGATCGATATAGGCCTAATCTTAAATGAAATTCAGTGTGCCCCTGGTAACTTTGCCTATCATATGGTCTTTCTGGTAAAAAAAAAACGAAATGTTTCTCAGTTATAGCAAAAAGCTGACAATTTTTAAAATGTCATTAACCTTATCAGGGACCTATATACTAGGTATATAGTATATAGGTCCCTGACCTAACTGATAAATGCAGAAACTGTCCATTTTTTTTTTTTTTTTTTTTTTTTTTTTTTTTTTTTTTACATTCCTCTTTCAAAAACACTTATTTCGATAACAAGCTAAAAATCTTGTTGAAAACGTAATATGGCGGTTACTTGAACATTCTCGCCGCCATTTCTGATCACTGTCCAACATTAGATGTTAAAAGAGAAATAGATTAACAAAATACTCTTTGATTATTTTGCTGAAAAGCAAAATCTGCATTGATTTGAAAATCAAGGAGTAAATACACTTTGAGGTAAAAAATTATCTGGAGCTCTGAAATAAGAAAGAAAAATTCCAATTCTGCTTTATTACTATGGAGAGAATATTAACAAACACTTTGTTAACAATGTCTACATTTGTGTGTGTGTGTGATGAATAGCAATTATCCTATTTTGGATGGTTTAAGGATCATGTCCTGCATAAAACTTTCCTAAGAAATCTGTGGGTCTTGGGTTATGTGTGTCTTTGAAGTATTTCATTAAGTGAGTTTTCTGACTAAAGTCCTCCACAGCATCTAAGAGTGCCAGTTGACCCTGTAAAATAAAAGGTAAAATTTCATCAGAAGTAAAGAGACACTTATTTCGTACAAGAGACACATAATCCAGAAAGTCACCTGAGTATCACAAGTTTTTCAGGTTATGACCACTTTGGGCCCACTTGGAACCAGCTTAGTCTAAAATATATCACATACGTTTTACTTTTTGATGATGAAAATCCTTTAACCATCATCAAATCTATGCAGCTTGCCCCAGTAAATTCATGAGTAAACGAAACAAGAGGCCCAAGGGCCTTAAAGGTCACCTGAGTATAATACAGCAATTTAGAGGATCCATAAAGTATAAAATAAACTGATAGATGAAGCTTTGTTGCCCAAAAACAAGAGAAATAGGATGATCAGGATCAATGAAATAATTATCTAGTATTCAGTAACAACTCATAAATTAAATTCTAATCTATCCTCCATTTATCACTATCGCAATGCAGACAATTAACAAACTATTAGTTCTTGTACCACTTTTAATCCCATACTGTGACCTCTCACATTGGCCTCTCTTGGTCTTTGAAGAACATTTAATGAGATAAGTTATTTTTGTCTCATTTTGATTTATTTCTTATTTACAAGTCTACCTGATCATTAAAACTATGAAAGTACTTTTTGTATTATACAATAATAATTCTTGCATAACCTTTGCATAATCAATCTTTTAACCTTTCAAGTACATTATTTACAGTGATTAATTATCAAAAGTAAATGGTAAAGGGGAATAACTCCTCCCAGTAGAATACAAATTAATAGAGCCCTGGCCAGGACCAGAACACTTGACCAAATGGTCCTGATGTTCAAAAATCTGGTAAAAATATTCTTGCTTATTAAAACTTTTATTCTGTTTGCCTTCGATCTGCCAAGGAGAAGAGAAGATTTTCAAAGAAATACTGCATTTTCACTACAGATTCAACACAGCCCTATCCTAGCACTAAAACCCATGTCCCAGGGTCATGAAATTCACAAATTTGGTAGAGGTACCCTCATCATAATAACTATGCACTTAGTTCAAGAATTTCAAAGAATCAACACATTTTCACTATAATATCAATATAGCTCCCCCCCCCCCCCCCCCCCCGAAACACCAAAACCTGGGACCCGAAGTTTTAAAAAATTTCTAAGAAGCGCAATTGTTCATCACAACTATGCACTTTGTTTATCAACACTAAGGGGCAGACAGGATTATTATACAGAAATAATGTATTTTCACTATATTATTAACGAAATTATGCTTTTTCACTATATTATCAATAGAGCCCCCCCCCCCCCCGGGGCCATGAATTTCATAATTTTTGAATAGGCATCATTGCTTATCATAATCATGCACTAAGTTTGTTTAAATAATATCCAGGAGCAGAGAAGATTTTCAAAGAATTAATGCACTATTTCACTACATGTATATAATCAATAGAGCCCCACCCTAACACCAGAACCCCTGACCCAGGGCCATAAAATTCACAATTTTGGAAAAGACATCCTTGTGCATCATAATCATGGACTTAGTTTGTTTAAATAATACCCATGAGCAGAGAAGAAGATTTTCCAAGAATTAATGCATTTTCACTATATAATCAATAGAGCCCCACCTTAACACCAGAACCCCTGACCCAGGGGCCATGAATTTCACAATTTTGGAAAAGGCATCCTTGTGCATCATAACCATGCACTTATTTTGTTTAAATAATACCCAGGAGCAGAGAAGAAGATTTTCCAAGAATTAATGCATTTTCACCACATAATCAATAGAGCCCTGCCTAACACCAGAACCCCTGACCCAGGGGCCATAAATATAACTATAATATATCTATACATGCATTGGAAGCGGTAACCAACGTACTCCTACATTTAGAAGAGTGAATATGGAACGTCTAAATATTTTGATATTTAGAATGTATATGTCTCTGACGTCATCGATACTATTTCCACTTTTATCTCGAAAGTTCTATTCTCACTTACAAGTCAGAGTTATCTTTCTTTGCCTACTGTATACACACTAGGTAAATAGGGAAAATGACGGTACTGAAAATCTACAAAATGTGGAATCTGATTTCAAAACAAATTATATATTTAGTATTTGTAGAATAACCTCTGTTATACATAATAATATCTTGAAAAAATATTAGAAAACAAAAAAGTTAAAAATTGACCAAACACAAGTTCACTTCCGGTTTGGACAGGAAGTATCGGAAACACATGAAAACAACTTTGAAACAAAGAGAATGTCATGATCTAATACTCCTGTAAATTTCACATCTTTACCTCAAACTGTTTCTGAGAAAAATTCCGGACAAAACTCCATTTAAAAATTGGAAATTCGGACATAACTTCAGACCGGAAGTGAATTTTTCAAAAAAACGCAATTTTATATAAACATCATATATCAGCCTACTATCATGTGAAAAATTGTGAAAATCTATCCAACCATCTCTGAGTAATTGCGTTCACAAAATTTGGGAGGAATAATAATAATAATAACTAGATGCGATCTTGTTGCGAGCAACGAGTGGGTCTTCCGTCCGATTTTTGATCAGATGAGATAAGAATTGGAGAGAGATTTTCGTTTTTTTTTTTTTTTTTTACCCTTTTTTATATCAGCTTAAGCCTCTCGTGATTTTAAAAACTTTTTGTTCAACTATTGAGAAATTCTTCTTTGTTTCCGAGATATATGCGAAAGAAACATTTAGGGGCTGGCCCTTCAACTCCTAAATGGGGATATTTAGCCAAAATTGAAAGTTCACATATTGTTCAGAACATTATTTTGAACATCTTTTATTTAATATTGCTTCTCAAAATATTTCCCCCTTTTGAGATATAAAGCGTCAAAGATTTTGCACTCTGGCCCCTTATGTAATTATGTAACATATGATGTGAATATCATAATATATCGTTGTAAATTGTTGAGATAAACATTTTTAAACATCTATCGGGCTATAAATACGGGTTGGTCACGAGATCAAATTCCATAAAGCCCGAAGGGCTTTATGGTAAATTTGATCTCGTACCAACCCGTATTTATAGCCCGATAGATGTTTAAAAATGATACCTTATTACTTATATTTACATTTGTGACTTATTCATATTTTATACTTGCCTGATTATAATCTTTAACGCGTGAAACGTTTTATTTTTCAAACCCAACGGCACGTGTTTGATCCTCTGATTGCGCGTCGACCCTTTATGACATCACTGAGAAATTACGTCGAACGTTTATGAGGTGAGGAACCCGTGTTTATACGGATATAGATACGCATTGCTTTCAATAGTGTTATATAAAAGAAAACATTTGCAAATGTAAATATAACAAAATATTGATCGTTCAAGAGTTATACATAAAAGACTTTTGGCCCCTCTGAGCCCCTAATTTAAGGGATCAGCCCTTTTTTTTTCTTGATATCAATTGAAAGGTCTTGTGATTTTAAAGATTTTTTGTTCAACAATTATTCAGAAATCTATTTTCGTCTTCGAGATATGCTGAATTGAAATATTTAGGGGCCAGCCCTTCAAGTCCTTAATGGAGCCGTTTTGCAAAAATTGAAAGGTTGCATTTCGTTTAGAACATTATTCTGAACATCTTTTGTTCAATATTGCTTTTCAAAATATTCCCCCTTTTTGAGATCTAACGCGTCAAAAATTTAGCATTCTGGCCCCTTTTGGACCCTTATTACGTAACATATGATCAAAATTTTAAACCATATAGTTGCAAATCGATAAGATAAACATTTTTGCTTCAGTAATTTATAACAAAATATTGATCGTTAAAGAGTTATACATAAAAGACTTTTGGCCCCTGTGAGCCCCTACTTTGAGGGATCAGCCATTTTTTCTCGATATCAAATGAAAGGTCTTATCATTTTACACATCTTTTGTAATACATGTTTTAACAAAATATTTACAGGTAAAAAGATATAAAAGAAAACGTGTCAAATTTTGCGAGATGTTTGTGAGCCTATTTTTCGAGCCCAGGCGAGCTTCAACGCCATTTGAGCTGGAAAGATATAGATGCCCAATTGCACATCTACAATCTTTCCTCTATCTTCACTGAAAATCTTAACTCAATATCTTTAGTCGTTTAGGAGGAGTTTCCAGGACAAGCTGACCCTCTGAAAATCAGAAAATCGTCCATATCTCACGACCGGAAGTGACGTCATCAAAAAGCAAAAAAACCTATCAAGATCAATAGAATATCTTTTACATCTGAAAGTTTGATGTAAATCGGCCCAGCCGTTTCTGAGAAATCGCGTGCACAAAATCGGTTGGAAGAAAAATAATAATAATAACTAGAGCAAAGCTCGTTGCAAAGCAACGAGTAGGTCTTCCGTCCTGTTTTGACCGGAAGTGACGTTAACAAGAGAAAGGAATGAGTTTAGACGTCTCCAGTGACTTTAAAATTACAATTTTGCATCAAAACCTGCAAAATAAGCTATTTCTGGCTTCTTCCGGTTTGACCGGAAGTGATGTTGAGGGATGATAAATTTGGTTGGACGCTTCTGATTACAGAAATTAACTAATAACATGTCGAAAATGGCAAAAATATGCATTTTTTGACTACTTCCGTTTTGGCCGGAAGTGGCATTATTTGACGACTTTCGGCAATCTTATTCACTTCTTCTTGTCATTTTAATTTGCTTCTTTGATGTATCACAAATTCTCAATAGTTTTGGAGATATTGAGAAAACACTTTCAGCCCCTGTAGATCCCTTTGATATCAAATGAGAGATCTTGCCATTCTGCACAACTTTTGTTCTATATCTTTTAACAAAATATTTACAAGTAAAGAGATATTCTTGAAAAAATGCTAAAAACTTTTATATTCTCAATAAGACTATTTTTGGAGCATACCAAGCGTCAAAGTGCGGCACGTCTGGAAAAAATGAACTACCTAGTACATATTTATGAACATTGCTCTATCATTGTTGAAAATATCAAGTTCCTATATTAAGTGTTTTTTAGAAAACGAACGGACAAAGTGACCCTCTAAAAATCACCTAA